CATTGTTGTTTGGCGGGCCTGGGCTGGGGATTTGAACCCGCCACCTTAGGTGTATGTGGCTGGCGCCTTAGCCACTTGAGCCACAGGCGCCGAGCCTCAAGTGATTTTCTTGCCTCAGCCTCCTGGGTACCTAGGACTAAAGGTACCCGCTACAAAGCCAGGCTATTTATAGAGACTGGGTCTCGCTCTTGCTCACACTGCCCATAACGTTTCTGTCTGCTCCTCTCTTAACACAGCCCCCCCACTCAGGCTCTTTTTACCAAGCCAAACAGGGATTCCTCCACCTATTGCAGTATTTTCATTTTCAGGGTGCTATGAAACTCTTCAACTCAACTCTCCAGCCTGAGGAAGAGCGAGTCTCCTTACTAAATCGAAAGATAAACAACAGCAGCAACAACTAGGCTGAGTGTCATGGCAGGTTCCTGTAGTCCCAGCTACTCGGGAGGCTGAGGCAAGAGGATTGCTTGAGACCAGGAGTTTGAGGTTGCTGTGAGCTATGACTCTATAGCCCTCTACCCAGGGTGACAGAGCGAGACTGTCCCAAGAAAAAAACAAACAGGGGCGGCGCCTGTGGCACAAAGGAGTAAGGCACCGGCCCCCTATGCCAGAGGTGGTGGGTTCAAATCCAGCCCTGGCCAAAAACCACATAGCACAGTGGTTACGGTGCTGGCCGCGTGCACCAAAGCTGGCAGGTTTGAACCCAGCCAGGGCCAGCTAAACAATGACAACTGCAACAAAAAAATATCTGGGCGTTGTGGTGGGCACTTGTAGTCCCAGCTACTTGGGAGGGTGAGGCAAGAGAATCACTTAAGCCCAAGAGTTTGAGGTTGCTGTGAGCTGTGACACCAGATACTCTACCGCGCGTGACCTAGTGAGACTCTGTCTCAAAAAAAATAAAATGACAACTCAAGTCCCCAGTAGCTTACAAGTTGTGGTTTTTAAAGGCAGGCAAAATTGCAAGTCAATACACCAAGGGTATACATTGGTCTGGCCCCTAAAGGTAGACTATTCTGAAGTAGGATGGATTTAGGTGGATTCAGAAATTCTTGGATTAGGAGAAGGGAACATAAAAATGGGTGCGATAGGATTTGGTGATGGTGGGGAGGGTGGGAGGTGGGGATTTAGAACAAAGAATTAAGGTCAGAGTCCAATTCCTCAATTTTTCCCCTTATCTGCATTTTTCAGCCAGTAGGGGTTTCTGAAAAGCAACTCAAGAACAAGTGTTAAGATGCCATCCTACAGGGAACAAAAACACCTCTCTACTCTGGCTCACTTGGTGGGCTTCTGTTCTCAGTAGGTGGCCCATTCACTCTGCCAGCCTAGCCAGGATCTCCTTCAGAGGAGTTCCCTGGTTGGGTAGGGGGAGGCATGGCAGCATGGCAGACCCATCAGAGGTCTCTGCTGCATCTCTGACTCTGGAAGTCTTTTCCAAATCCCTACTACAGCAGCCCTCAGCAGCCAGAGGGTTTCAAGCGCCACTGGTTTCCTCCAGAATATATGCCTTTAGGCGCCTGCCTGGGGCTTTGACCAGGCACACATCCTTCCTTCGATGGAAAAGAAACCATACTCTATGAACAATTTAAGGAGGTTTATTCTGAGACAAATTTGAGGACAGTGACCCGGAGCCACACCTAAGAAACCTTGAACAAGTGGACTTGAGGTGGTGGGGTTACAGTTTGGTTTTATACATTTTAGGGAGATTGAGATTACAGGTGAGGTCATAAATCAATACACAGAAAACACACATTGGTTTGGCCCCAAAAGGTAGAATATCTGGGATCAGGAGCTTACAGGTTATAGGTGACAATTGGCTGAAAGATGTTCTATCTAAAGGACCAGGAGTCAGAGAAAAGGAATGCTTTTTTCTTTTTCTTTTTTTTTCTGAAAAGGGCCTTTTGGTTGGAAACAGAAACAAGAGCATACTTAACCACCAAAATCGTACAGAGTGCATTCCTGGCGCTTGAGCGCACACACCACATCCATGGCGGTAACGATCTTGCTCTTGGCGCTCTTGGTGTAAGAAACAGCGTCCCGGATCACGTTCTCCAGAAACACTATAAGCACCCCAGGAGTCTCCTCATAGATGAGGCTAGAAATACTCTTAACTCCACCGCGGCAGGCCAGACGCTGGATCACGGGCTTGGTGATGCCCTGGATCTTGTCACGCAGTACTTTACTGTGCCTCTTGGCTCCACCTTTACCAAGGCCCTTCCTGCCCTTGCCACGTCCAGACATGGTTACAAAAGCCAAAGTCACAAGACTGACAAGCTTTATAGAAAAGGAATGCTTTAGACAAAGGGTCTGTTAACTAGAGACAAAGTTTCGGACTGATTCACGCAGTTTGTTGTGTATATTGAGGACCTGCAGTTAGGTCTTGTTAATGAGTCACAGAGGACATCTCTAAGAAGGGGATGGGGCAAGATGAGGCTTGTCTGATCTTCTGTTTTATGGCTATCAACTGAGTTTGGGGGATCCTCTTGGCCAAGAGGGGTGCAGTCAGCTGCTGAGGTGGGAGCCTTAGGATTTTATTTTAGTTCACACTTCCAAACCCTCCTCTGTTGAAGTTTGTTTTTTTTGAGACAGAGCCTCAAGCTGTCCCTCTGGGTAGAGTGCTGTAGCATCACAGCTCACAGCAACCTCCAACTCCTGGGCTCAAGTGAGTCTCCTGCCTCAGCCTCCCAAGTAGCTGGGACCACAGGAGCCTACCACAACGCAGGCTATTTTTTGGTTGCAGCCATCGTTGTTTGGTAGGCCTGGGCTGGATTTGAACCTGCCACCTTAGGTGTATGTGGCTGGCACCTTAGCCACTTGAGCCACAGGCACCTAGCCTGTTGAAGTTTATATAAAACTGTCTCCAGGGCAGCACCTGTGGCTCAGAAGGATAGAGAGCCAGTCCCATATGCTGGAGGGGGCAGGTTCATATCCAGCCCCAGCCAAAAATGGTAACAACAATAGGGTGACCAGATTTTACCATCGGTAAGGCGGGACAACATGGCTAGGGGGGTGGGGTGGGACTGGGGCAAGGGGTGGGGCAGGGCAGGGCCTGACAACAATGCAAACTTTGATAAGCAGTTCTCGATAATCACTTTCCAGCAATTATTTGTTATTATTACAGTTTAACATTATAAAATTAACAAAAATAATATAAAACTCATATTCTGGAGAAATAGCCACATGGCAGCCGAAAACCGTATATTCCCTTCTTGTTCTCCTGCCCATTTGTGCATTCTTTCCAAAAATTGGGACTTTTTTAAAACGCCCTGGGACGCAGGACAAATTGTTGAAAAGCAGGACTGTCCTGCCAAAAGTGGGACATCTGGTCACCCTAAACAACAACAACAAAAAAAACTGTCTCCATCCCCACACTTCTTGCTGTTCTCATTGCTTTTGCTCATGTTGATCACTCTCCCTGGCGTGCACTTCATCCTCTAAGCCCTGGTCCTTCCATGTTTGCCCTCTTTGGGAAGCTTGGGCTGACTCCCAGGTCAGCTGTGTCAGGGGCCTTACCTTTGTGCCCCGGTTAAGTGCCTTTTGCATTTATCCTACTGTTGCATTTACCACATAGCACTGAAGTGATCTTTTCCCTTGTATCTTTGTTGTTGTTGTTGTTGCAGTTGTTATTGTTGTTTAGCAGGCCTGGGCTGAGCTTAAACCCGCTAGCCTTGGTGCCTGTGGCCTGTGCCCTACTCACAGAGCTATAGGCGCTGAGCCTGCTTTTTAATTTTTTTTTTCTTTAGAGACAGAGTCTCACCTTGTCGCCCTTGGTACAGTGCTATGGCATCACAGCTCACAGCAACCTCTTGCTCCTGGGCTTAGGTGATTCTCCTGCCTTAGCCTCCAGAGTAGTTGGGACTACAAGGCACCGGCCACAACGCCCAGCTATTTTTTGTTGCAGTTTGGCCGGGGCCGGGTTTGAACCCACCACCCTCAGTATATGGGGCCAGCACTCTACTCACTGAGCTACAGGCGCCGCCCTTTTTTAAAAATCTGCTGTTTTAGACAGAGGAATGATTGTTCAGACAGTGTCTCTGATTATGACACAGGTATCTGAACTACCCTGTAATGCCCCAGATGTGTTCACAGATGTGAGTTCACGCCCATCCCTATCTTAGTCACTTGCAGCCCCCCACACTCTCAAATCTTTAGTTTACACTTTTTTTAAAATTTTTTCGAGACAGAGTCTCACTGTGTCACCCTGGGTAGAGTGCTATAGCATCAAACTTGAGCGCCTCAAACTCTCGGGCTCAAGCAATTCTCTTGCCTCAGCCTCCCAAGTAGCTGGGACTACAGGTGCCCACCACAATACCTGGCTATTTTTGGTTGCAGTTGTCATTGTTTCACTGGCCCAGGCTGGGTTCAAACCTGCCACCCTTGGTGTATGTGGCTGGCGCTGTAACCACTGTGCTACAGGCACCGAGCCATCCTTGTGTCTTTATTAGAGCTCAGAATATGTCTTATCCCACTTTGTATCTCCAATGCCTGGCACACAGGAATGTTAAGTAAATAATAGACAAATGGGAGGAGGAAGAAAAGGAGGCCTGAGAAGGGCCTCTTGTATTAAGCAATGAAAACCTGTCTCCGAGACCCTGCCCTTACCCCTTTATGCTGTGAGCAACATGCTATATACTGGGCTCTGAGCAGCCTCTTAGCCTCTGGATGGATTATGTGACTGTGAGAGCCTTAGAATTAAAGGTAGAAACAGAAGGCAGAAGTGTCTGATCCCTGCGATTCTGCTCTCCGAGTCCCCCACCAGATTATCCTCAGAGGTCACTTTGGAGACACTGAGAGTCTCATAAGGAGGGGATTGCAAAAGACAAAGAATATGCCCCCACCCCACCCTCTTTCCCACAGAACTGCAACTTCAGCCAGGACTGCCCTCCTCAGACTTCCTTTACATGAGAAGGCTATAAACTTTAAGCAACTGAAGGATTTTATCTTTGTATACAGCTGAGTTAATATATCCTGTGGCTCTGAGTTTGTTGCAACATTCTCTCTTGCCTAATTTGGGCTGTTTTCGGGCTTATAGCTGGAGACCCCAGGCAAATGTTATCTGGTATGGGAGCACCTCCTCAGACAATAGGTGGTCCCTGGGCCACCAGCACAGGCATGTGGGAGGACCAGTGAAGGAGATTGGAACAAGTTCTGTTACCTTGGGCAAATCACCAGGTCTCTCTCTCTCTCTCTCTTTTTTTTTTTTTTTTAATTAAATCTTAGCTGTGTACATTAATGCAATCATGGAGTACAATGTACTGTTGTTTTTCTTTTTTTGCAGTTTTTGGCCAGAGCTGGGTTTGAACCCGCCACCTCTGGCATATGGGGCCAGCGCCTTACTCCTTTGAGCCACAGGCGCTGCCCACAATGTGCTGGTTTTATATACAATTTGAAATATTTTCATCAAACTGGTTATCATAGCCTTCATGGCATTTTCTTAGTTATTGTGTTAAGACATTTATATTCTACACTTAGTAAATTTCACATGTACCCTTGTAAGATACACCATAAGTGTAGTCCTTAGGTTCCTTGCTTTCTAAACAAGAAAGATGGACTTGGCGCCTGTAGCTCAGTGAGTCAGGGTGCCGGCCACATACACCAAGGATTGTGGGTTCCAGCCTAGCCCTAGCCTGCTAAGCAACAATGACAACTGCAACCAAAAAATAGCCAGGTGTTGTAGCAGGTGCCTATAGTCCCAGCTACTCAGGAGGCTGAAGCAAGAGAATTTCTTAAGCCCAAGAGTTGGAGGTTGCTGTGAGCTATGATGCTACAGCACTCTACTGAGGGCAACATAATGAGACTCTGTCAAAAAAAAGAAAAGAAACATGATCTTCAAGGTCCTGACAGTCTCATGTTCAAAATACTTGCCATAATTAAGTAATAAGTAACATGGAATGGAAGTAGGACTTGGGTTTAGGCATCAGACAAACCTGGGTTCAAATCCTGGCTGGGCCACTAGCTGGCAACTTGGGGAAGTCTGAAAGCACATGCAACGAGAATAAGATGGAGTCATTAGGCTAGTGCAGAGATGACACAGCTGGTCTGATCGGTTTAGGTCCTATGTGACCTTCACCTCATATCTCCCATTCTTGCTATTTTTTAAAATTCTATTCTAACCTAAAAGTGTACATCTTGAGTAGTTTAGGGCTACTGATTTAGATTCAATTTTTTTTTTGCAGTTTTTGGCCAGGGCTGGGTTTGAACCCTCCACCTCTGGCATATGGGGCCAGCACCCTACTCCTTTGAGCCACAGGTGCCACTGAGATTAACTTTTTTTTTTTTT